TGTTGAATAAAAGTAATTATCCCAGTCGGTCCAGACTGTTTGATCAGTTTTGAAGTTGTCCCAGAGATTTCTGTCATGTTTTGTGAGTTTAAGATGTGACTGACTGCACCACAGAATCATCGATTTTGCACCGATGGCACCTGGCCAGGCGGCCTTGGCTCGTCGCGGTTTCTTTTATTTGACGCCCGTGCAGCAATGCTCTCTGCCACTGATGCGAGGTTTGTTGGCCACAGGGATTGGTTTAAGGGAAAATTGAAACTGGAAATTTCTATATTATATTGGAAAAAATCTGGAAAATTTCTGGTTTAGGGAATCCCCCTTCTATATTTTATTGGAAAAGCTGTGCTTTCCTGGAGATTTTCCAACCAATCCATTGGTGCTTTGAGTTATGTTCCATCCAGGATGATCCCCATCGAATTTGACCTATTCAAATGGCATTTTTTTTGGGGGTATACGGTATACTCCCTTTTCAGACCTAAATAACCTATAAAATAAGCATGTTTCATAGTATATGTTTTTGCTTGTCACCCACGTGAATTGTGAATTGTGAATTTTGACCTTGGAGCCTCAAACACACCATTGATGGTTTCTGATTGGACATTCTGAATCTCATTGATTGCATCGATGTTTCATGACCTGGATCAAGACAAAAAGAATTAAGCCCTAATAGCAGTGATTTCAGGAGAGAAGAGTACATAATTAGTAGGAGCTCTTCTATCGTTTTTGGGGACACTCATACTCATTACATCTCATTAGATTCATTACTGCTTTCTTGCTTGCTTGGTTCCATCCCATCCTTTGTATTGCGTGATGGTTCCCAATTTTAAGAAACATCCGATTCGGATCTTTTTCCTGTCTGAAACTTTGCAATGTTGAGATAGGTTGGATATCCCCCAATATCCCGTTGTATATACATAACATAGGGATTACAGTTCTATTAAACCACCATTAAATCCCATTACATCCGTATTCAATCCCATTATATGAACCCCTCTGCCAGATGGGCACGACTTCATGGCTTCAGCTTTCACCGGCTCCGGCAAGTCGCATGGCTTTGCCTCGAAATGGAATGTACCATGAGGATCCATGAAGTATGCTCCATTGTATGGCAATTTCATCGGGAAAATTGGGGAAAATATGGGAAACATGTGTGATATATAGTAATGTATGTATGTATGTATATATATATATAGCATAAATATATATACTATAGAACTAAGCTAAGTAAGCATAAAAAGCGATGGGGTAAATAACCAACCATAGTCTTAAGTCGAAAACAGGGGATTTGACCATCAACTGTGTGGATTTTGTAAAAATAAACGAGGATATTATGGGAATAGTTTATAACCAACCAACTTGGGATACCTCATTTTTTTGACCTTTTGAGTAGGGATTGTGATGATGAACCAGTGGATGGAATGGTGTGGTTTTGGGTGTAGCACATTCGCGACATTTACTCCAAAGATTTTGACCGAACTAAGGTTAAGCGAGTGTCAATAAGATTCTATAGGTGCAACCGTGAACACAATCCGGATATTGCACCTTACTAGACTTTTCTGAGTGCAGGGATAGTACCAATAATGACTAGATAAGCCACTTGGATCCCTTTGGTGAAGGCTGGGTGTGAATCTTCAAGTACGATCTTGTGAAGGAATATGAGGCTCAGCATTATGCACCCTCAAGTTGGATGTGTGCAGCTCGGGGACCACACTAAGGACCACCGCATACCTGCTGCCCATTCTCAAAAGCTTGAACGAGGTGCTCTGCCGTGCCACAACCTTCCCATGATGATTTTCTTGGCCAGGGAGCTTGAGCAAAATTGCCTTGGGGCACATGTTTTACAGTGTTTTACTGTTAAGCAACAAAAACAGCTGGTTTTTCCACAATTTTGGAGCTGGAGATAGCAGTTTCCAGATGTTTCCAGCGGCTCGATTTTTTTGAACAAATCTGAGCAGTGTGGAGATGACCTGTCTACCAGAGTATAATAAACATATCCAATGATAATACACTCATAATGAGAATAATCATGTGATTTCCCTGATGATACTCATGAGTATAATAATGATAATTGAAACATAGATAATAGTAAATAACAGCAATGGTAGGACTTTAATAGGTATACGGTATACGGTATACATATATTATATATACACAGTATAATGATAATGATAAGACATGATGATGCTCCCCACGACCGAGATAGACTGCAGGCCATCCATGTCCATCCCATTAGGGTTCTAACCAACCAATGTTCGGGATGATCGCAACCTCCGCCCAGGGTGCCCGTCTGGTGCCTGGAATTCAAGTGGCCAGTCACTACAAAACGAAGGACGTGAGAACTTGGGGATGCTGAGATGACTCAATTAGACATCCAACTGCAACATGGTTCAATTACATATCAATCTAGCACACCTTTGTATTGTAGTCTATATAATTCTATATAATTCTATAATTACATATATATATATATTATATATATACTATGTATATATATATATGCACCACCAATAATTTGTCTTCATCCTCAAACCCATCGATGTGCTGCCCTGTTAAGGGCCTTAAGCGATAACCTAAACCTGAGGACGGCTTGGAGCCACAACCAAGGAGCAACCAGTCTTGGACGGCTCCATATCCATACGCATGGGTATATACTTGGAACCCACATGACCCCTATGTCGGTTTCCATGGGTCAACCCCTCCGAAATCAGGGTCCATAGAAACCTCACTGGCTGACTGACCATAGATCATATACTTCATGGGAGCCACCCCAATTCACAATACAAACAAATATCATAATGATGGTACAATTCACAATAGGTCACCATCAAATGATAGTAATGTAATTCTCAATATATCACTATGATTCATGATGTGTCAATATATCATTATCTATCAATCTATCAATCTATCACAATCAATCATTGCAATAATATAATAATCTATAAAGATATCATTATGATTATGATCCAACATCATTATTATCTCTGGCTATTGCATTATGATACTAAATTATAGATATGGGTATGGATCAATACCTATATTAATACCATTTTTAGAGGGATGAACATCCATTTACCAGCTATTTTTATGTTCACCAGGGGTACAAGGTTTTGACCCACTGCCATATGATATCACTATGATCTAATGATTCCCAGATGTTCGACTTCGAAATGAACAAAACACTGGAAGCCCAGGACGGCAGTCGTAGCGCCTGAAAGCCCAGAAAAGAGGGCATCGCTGCAGCTGGATTGGCTGATGGTCCAACCAGATCCACCAGATCCACCATACAGTTGTTGATGATACATCAGCCAATCTTTATAGATTATGGTGAACATTGTATGTTCATGGATCTTTATAGATACATACCAGATACATCAACATTGTTTATGTTTGAACATACATCTTATTGTTTTCCAATTTCAACAAACATAAACATGTATTATATGTCATATATAAATAATAACAATAAACATGTATATATATATATATCATATGTTTTTTGTTTATGATATGTTTTCCAATTTCATGGATTTCAACATGTTTTTGTGAACAGCAAGGAGGTCCCCCTGGAAGATCTCGTTGCTTGTGCCTCTCAGCCCCAAGATGGGGGAAAATGCCCCAAAAATCGGTAACACGATCCCAGTTAGCCTTTGGTGGTCAAACGTGGCAATTGAGAATCCTCCATGAATATCCCGAAATGGTGTTTTAATGGGAAATTTATTGAATAATTGCCATGTTTGGTTACCAGAGGCTAGCTTGTACGTGTCCCCTTTCTGTTTGTTGACTTTCCCTGCGACTCCATCGTTCTTTGATTCTTCTCACAATTGACTAACAACCCTCTTTTGTTATTTTTGTTTTTGGTCAGATTCCGCAATCTTTGGAGAAACAAGACACCTTGTCAGCCAAATTCCGGCAATTGAATCCTCCATTCGTACTCATTGTGCTATTGTTTTTCAGTCCCTGATTCTTGCACTTTATATTTAGTTTTTGTTGCTGAGTGCTTCTATTTGCCAACATTCAGTCCCTGCTAAAAGCAGGTTATAATGGTTATCCTCTGGTAAACTAACATAGCTATGGAAAATCACCATTTTTCATGGGAAAATCCACTATTAATGGCCATTTTCAATAGCTATCTTACATTACCAGAGGTTATATCCATGATTTTCTCATCCGCGGAAACCCAGGCACGGCCAAGCATCGCCACAGTGCGCGGCCGGGTGCTCGGTGGCTTTGGAAAAAGCCCCCAGAAACCATGGTGGATGTAGGGACGGGTGTGGGACCATGGAATGGGGGCGTTTAAGATTACCCTCTGGTAATGTCAAGATAGCTATTGACAATGGCCATTTATAGTGAGTTTTCCCATGAAAAATGGTGATTTTCCATAGTTATGTTCGTTTACCAGAGGGTATATATCTCCACTTATCAATCAGTCATTAGATCATTGATTCATAGTCCACATTGTTTGGTTCGATCCACAGGATGTGAAGTGACCATCGGGAATATTCCCAGCGTGGATGCGGACGCCTGGCAAAATCCTGGCAAACCAAACCAATCCATTGCCCGTTGCTGCATTAAGCCCCCATGTTTGCTGATAATCCCATAATCCATAGATAATGCCATAGATAATCCATAGATAATCCCAATCTTAATCCCATTCCATGATAATCCCATAGATAATCCCATTGATACTCCATAGATGTTTCCTCATGTTCCACTGTTTTTCTCTCCAAATCGAGGATTTTCTGCGGCGCGAATACATCGAACTCAATGGACCATGATACCATGCTTTCCGTGGCCAAATCTTCAATGACCGGGGAAAAAAAAACCATCAGCCATGAAATCCCCATGTGTCATAGTTAAATCCATATTACATCATATATGTCATTTTATTCCATATTCTCATTTTTTCATACTTATATAAATCCATATATATATATATATCATTTTGTTCCATATTGTTCCATATTATTCCATAATTACCCTCTGGTTAACTAACATATGGAAAATCACCATTTTTCATGGGTAAAATCAACTAGTTCTATGGCCATTTTCTATGTCGCAAACTTTCTGAACGCAGGCGTCCATCCATGCCTGGGATGTGTAACCCCAAATTGCATCAGAAAAAGAACACCCAATACCCTCTGGTAAACTAACATAGCTATAGAACATCACCATTTTTAATGGGAAAACTCACTATAAATGGCAATTTTCAATAGCTATGTTAAATTACCAGAGGGTAATCAACATTAAGAAACCATCTCTGGGTGCTTTGGCGAGATTGAACAAAATTACTCCAAGTAACCAGAGGGTAAATCCCCCATATTTCAATAGTTCCGTGTCCAGATTCGGTCACGGTGAGGCATGAAGAATGGTTTGGGGGCCCTCGAGTTCGAAGAAGCCACTGGCAAGGCGCGCGTTTCATGGGGGTACCACGAGAGCTGGATGGTTTACCCTCTGGTAAACATACCAAAAGCTATTGAAAATGGCCCATTTATAGTGGATTTACCCATAAAAAATGGTGATTTTCCGTGGTTTTGTTAGTTTACCGGAGGGTATTTCATGGAAAGTCCTATCAAAGTGGATAAACTCATGTGGGTAAAACAATGTCACAAATCATCCCCCAGTCATCACCATTTTTATAGGTGGGACTGAAACCATTCCCAAAATGGGTGGTTTATCGTGGTTTCACCCACAGTATATAAATATTCAATGGATTTGTTTTTTACAAGAAATAGGGTATGCAGGTTCCTATTGTTCATTGAGTTCTTGTCCAACTGAAAAACAATGTTTTTTGTTTACCAGCAAATAATGAAAGAACCACCCATTACAAAGCATAGTAGAGGGTCACTATCACAAAGAATCACAGGATATCGCAAGTGGGGGTATTCCCATTGAAATATGTTTTTTCTTGCGATGAAACACATCAAGAAGAAAACCAACTCGTTCAGATCCAACATCCAGCAACAAACAACTGGAACTTGAAGATGATAACCACAGCAATATGTGGCTCTAACAAATGACTGAAGACATGAGAATATTGACCTTGACGACCGAGGTGCCCCTTCTAATGAACAGCCTCCACAAAGCATGGTTCAGACTCTGACAATTTCGGCGTCTCAAACAATAATTAATTGGTAGTTGAGTGAACTATCAACAATCATTTTGCGATTTGTGATTATTGTTTTTGTAGGATCATCTCCCATCGGATGCAGTGGCCAGGCACATCGCCAGTTGGTACCGGTGGATTGGGTGGTTGGCTCGTGGGGGCCCTTGGGCAACTGGGGGTGTGGCTGAGGCCTACTGGTAGGGCCTAGACCTCAATGTACCATACAGATTTGCCTCCAAAAAAATGAAACTTCTGGCATTCTCTACACTCTTTCTGGGTTATTTTCAAGGTCCAGTGGAGTTGTTTCAGGATATCCTATGTCCTATGTTCAGAATAAAAGTTCGGTTTCCTGCAATTTTCCTTTGAATCAAACATGACCTTTTTCTGTGTGGATCTGTGCCCCAAGGCCTTGACCCAAAGCCACAAAAATAAGCTCCCCGAAATTCAGCGGCGTATCATGTTTCACATATGTTTCCCATTTGAACGCCACAAACTAAGGACAAGTATTTCAAGGCCATCATTTTTCCCATTGTTTCCCGTTCTGTCCCATTTAAATGTCATAACTACCCTCTGGTAAACTAACATAACTATGGAAAATCACAATTTTCAATGGGTAAATCCATTATAAATGGCCATTTTCAATAGCTATGTTAGTTTACCAGAGGGTAAAGTCAAAGCCATTTCTGGTATCAGACACGCTGCGCCTCAGGCCGGAGGCACCTTTGAGGAGGCAGAGTGACCATCAGCGGGGGGACGGTTGATCAGATGTATCACTATATCACATAGGGCATACGCATGTATATATATATATACTTACTGTATATATATATATGATAACAGAATACAATACAATATAATATGATAATATATATATATATATCAATATAAACATACATACACACTGTTAATTTATACATATATACTATATATATACTGTATATCAGTTTCACATCCAATGTACTAGTGTTTATATTCGCTTCCCCAGAAAAAAAATGGAACAGAAAAAACACAAACACGATCACACATCACGGGCGGCGGAATGTGGCGGATCCCATCTACCCCTTGGCAGCTCCGAGGCGATGGCAAGGCCCCGCCTTACCTGGTGCCATTGTCCTCGTTCCCACCAGAGAACTCTGTGAACAGGCGCGCAACTGGAGAGTTGGAGCGCTGTGTACCACTTTGGTTCCGCTTTCCTCAGCAAAACTGGGGGGGTTCGCATGGGTGATTTTTGTGAAATCTGCCGAATCCTCAAGATTCCAAGAACATGATTTGGCACGGCTGGCTGACCAAGCCTCAGAAACGATGCTTACGGAACCAAACAAAAAAGAGGAGGATTACACACTGTGATGGTCAAGACGCATGGATTCTCCCCACTAAAACAATCTAAGATGGGAGTTTTCCTGGAAGATGCGAGGTGCATTTGGAGACCAAAGAGTTTCTGCACTTTTCACCTCTCAGAAGTGTTGGAAACTCAAGGGACCAAGCTGGGCTACCACAAGACATGTGGACTTGCAGACTTGGGAACTTGGGAAGTATTGCTGCTACTATGACTACTGTTAATGTGGTATATAAAATATAAACCCAACTTAATCAAACATGCCGGATTTCATCAGAAATGCCCATGGATGTTTATTCCTTTGTATTGCTGGGTTAATTTATCCCACTACTCGTACCACTATGATTTGTGCAGTCTCCAACAAAGCAGTTGGTTGATGATTACAGATAGTTATATGACCTCTCATACATATATATCTATATCGTGTATGTATGTATGTAAATTATGCATATATTGGAGACTATCCCAATCCATGAACTGAGAATCTCCCTGAAAAGGATTTCCATATTCTTCCTCCCTTTTTGAAGAGCATTATATACATTGAATTGAGTGTAGTACCACAAAACCCCATCAAACTATAACACCCCGTGATTTCAAGGATTTTTTTCAATACACCTACAATGTGGGGCCCCCGAGATAGCTAAGTTGGTTTATAACTCCCATAACTATGGTTTATGATATACCTATAACATCCTATAACTATGTATATAGTGAATGGGGTTTATAAACCAACTTAGCTATCTAGGGGGCCCCACATTGTAGTCGGTTTTTGCGACCCCCGCAGTTCCAAAGGTGGCTCTGTTCGGCGATGCCAACCTTCGCTCGCAATTTCGCATCACGGCAGCAGGGAAAGCGCGGTTGCAGAACCGAATGTCAACTGCTTGGGAGCTCCAAACTTCCAGATACTGGGTGTCCTTTGGTAGTTTTGACCGGTAAATCAATTACACATGGACATGGGACATTCAAGGTGGCCATGTCGTATTACCACGGTAAATCATAGGGCTACCCATCCTTTTTTTCTGGGGGGCTGAAGCACGTCAAGTGTCTTGTTCTGTCATAGTCTGCCTTGGTTGGAGAATCCCAGGACATTGGCAACTCAATGACTAGCCGCTAGCCGCCAGCCATGGTCACCATGCGTCACCATGCGTCGAACAATTTCCGGATCATTCAAAGTGCGCTTGGATGAGCTGCAGGATGACTTTCATGAAGGTTGCCCTTGTGGCAAGAGCCTATCAGGCGATGACTCTTAATGACACTTGATCGCTGAGAGCTCACCTCATGTTGGTGGCACTGCTCTGCTAATTTGGTGGTCATCAGCATGTGCTGTGGATGGGTTGCCAAAGTTGCTTGATCCACATGTTTCGCAGACGATTCTGGTGACGGTTGAGCTAGCGGAGTGTGTATTTGACACGCTTACCACGTCTCCTTGTGCACGTTTGTTTGCTTGTGGAAGTATTTGGAAGCCACTGTGTTGCGTTGCATTTGAAGCAACAAGTTCAGGCACATCTCAAACAGATCCTAGAATCCTGGACGGATTTCCGGTTGTGGGATTCTGATCATCACTAAGTCACTAAGTGTCACTCAGAAACGTGTGGTGTCAACGAGCTGTTTCGGTGTACGCTTCTGAAGCGCGCGTTGCATGATGAAATCTCGAAGCGCTGCCCCCTGCCCCGTTGCGGCAGGAGCCCAAAGGGCGGGCAATGACTCACTGGAGCTTCCCCACTGAGACGCATTGGAACTTTCTGCTTGGAAGTTTCTGCTTGGCCATGGTTGCAATGCTTTAAACACAAGGCCATCAACCCTACCCCATCTACCCAAGATCTTAGATTTAACATTTAGGGTATTTTAGGGTTAATATGTTTGAAAGGACTGACATGATACAGATCACAAAAGCATACAAAAATCATCCGAAAAAGGGATGGCTTACCACTTTGGTGCGAAACGTGGGGAGATACTCTCTGTCTTGTCTCTGTGTCTCTGTGTGCGTTTGGCATGTTGCCAGCCGTTGGCACCGTTGGTCGGCAAAGAATCTCTGCCCATGGTCAGGTTTTTCCGGTGTTCGGAGCTTAGAGACATCACCTGAAATGGTATGCTGGTTTTTTCAGATCCATAAGCAAAAGTTATTGGTGAAATATTGGGAGCAGGTTGAAATTCCGGACTTCCAGGCCGTTCTTAGGAAATCCTAAGAGTATCATTGTAATCTCCGACAATTCATCCATTGAATCGGTCATATTTGTCTTGAACTTAGGAGATTTAGGAGGCCATTGCCCTGACCCTTGCTGATTGTATGTGATAATATCCTGATGTTTTTGTTTTCCACATGCCTCTATAACCATGCAGACAAATGGATTATGCATAGTTTGTAATGGTAGTTTAGTTTTCCCATGATTCTTAGTATCTCCTTCAAGAAAACACATAAATATGTGTGTATACACACTATTACACAGTATATAATAACATATAATAAACAAATAAATATATAATATATATATAATTATATATATAACTATATATATATAATTATATATATAATACATATATAAATATATGTACATATTTACAGACATATATTGACTATATAGTGTACTCGAAAGCTCTTCAGAATTCTCCTTCCAGCTGTTGGCACCTCCATTTCTGAGGTGATTTGGCGCACGGAGCCGATCTTTTAGTCCCCTCACCAGCGAAGGGGGTGCCTGTTGGGAACAATGGGCACCATATTTTTATCCAAATTTCATCAAACATTCATCAAATGGTGATTTAATGGTGATTTAATGGTGTTTAATGGTGTTTAATGGTGTTTCATGGTGATTTAATGGTGTTTTCATCAAACGTATATGATTTGTTAAACGAAAAAAAAAAACATTTCCGGACACCACTTCAGAATATTTAAAAATTCAAAACATGATTAAGACAAAACAATACTTATGAATTGTAATCCATGGCTGCTTTGTCTCAAAACGATTCACCCCAATTGATGGCCAACCGTGGGTGGTTTCTGGGGCACCAGTTTCTGAGACGTACCCATGCTTGTTTAAGAACACATAGCAGCCATCAGAACACAAAGTGTTCACCGCTATCAATTGTGGATCCCCGAAAGCCAACTGACATGTTCACATGCAAATCAGATCTTCCACTTGGGTAACTTACGATTTGTATGAACACTTAAGTATGCATTGAAATGTTCCAGGACTTTCCCAATTCATTCTATGGTTCTGACACATTATTATGATTGACATGTTTGCTCATATTAAGGTCATATGTTTGAGGTCTTGGTGATATCCCCATCATATTAAGATATCCATATATATATATATATATCCATAATATTTCGAAATATTTTACATATCCAGTCATGAGATCACTCCACATGGGTCTCCCTTTTTAAGGTCTCCACTCCGGGACGCCTGGTGGATGCCTTGCACAAGGGCCTGGTGAGATTGGACAAGGCACGGGCCTGGAAGCCATGGTAAGGAAGCATGAAACATGCTGAATATCATGGGAATATCATCAAAATGGTGGGTGAATGGGATATATATATATGTGGATACAATGGGAATATCATGGGGGATCGGAATTTACCCAACTTGAGGGTGAAGTGGGGTGAGAATAATGGGTGTAACTATGGGATTCTAACCCTTTGCTCGGGTACGGGCCCTGAAAAAACGTTATGGCTATGGTTACTGTATCCTACAGGAACTGCACCCCCAAGGTGTTCATTATATGCTTTGGGGCTCGCCATGTGGAGGAATAGAAGCCATGGCAGCCGACACTCGACTTCCTTGCTCTCAAGTCACACAGATTCGGAAGAGAACCCTGACATGGAAATATGGATCTGTAGCAACCGCAGATATCATGGATAAAACTGGGGAAGATGACATTCGAAGTGTGGATGATTTACCCATTGACAGAGGTTTTTCCATCCCAAATCTGAGCCATCTTCCTTGAAGGTACATGGAACATGACATCGGTGGTATCAGTTCCAGGGCCTAAATTTGCTTTCACATTGTGTCCATATATGTACAGCTGAAGCCGTGCTTTTGTCACCACTTGCTAGATTCCATTTGCCATCATGTGTCACTGTTATCCAAGTACCATGACCATTCTCATCACAAGAAAAAGACAAAAGACAAAGACAAAACAAGATGCAGTTTCAGCTCAGGGCCCCCCTTGGGCCTTTCAACCAATGCTCAATAGAGATATGTTCCATTAATTATCTCGTTAAGTAGCCATTATCATTGATTCACAATGATTAACCATTATTTTCCCCATGAGTTTTCCCCATTAAATCCCCATGAGATCCCATGATTCCCCCCAAAGTCACCATGAAATCATCCCAGGTGCGCTTTCTGGTACTGGATGAGGTGGATCGCATGATGGAACTTGGCCCGGGCCTCGGCCTGGGCACTCGCAGCGGTCTCCATATTCCCAACGAAAAAGCCAGTTGGACGACGAGCGATGTTTCCCAACGAGCCATGATAGTTTATGTCAATGTTTAGTCATTTTAGTCAAGCAATTTGTGGCTTTCAATGATTTGATCCGATGTTTGGCACTTGATCTGGGCCATCAGCAAAAAGTGAGGCTGTTGACCCCTCAGGTGTGTATATAATTATATAAACACATGATTTGATATCCACCTATCTCTCTATGTATATACAGTATATATATATATATATCATATACACATATCATATCTATATGTATATGATTGTGTATATGATTGTGTATATGATTGTGTATATGCATATACCCGTGTGTATATTGGAAATCAAGGCCAACATTTTAGCCAGGGATAGCTCGAAACTCCACGAAAAACGAGGAGCCAAAGAGGCGAAAGAGCCCAGGTCTTGTTTAGAGGCCTCCTTTTGACCCCCTGATTTTGGTAATTTTATCTTCACAAACTACTCAATGTCAAGAACTATTGAACAACATGGAAGGTCGTTTCCTTCCATTTTTTTTTTCCGTAGTTGAAGCCATCTCCAAAATCACCATTTCTTTTATGGGTCACCATCCCCAGATGGTAGGTTCCTGGCATTGGCTTTCCCACATTCGTCACCTTCAAAAAAAAACCACTGGACAGAGATAATAAGGATGATTAACCCTAAATCATCCATTTTGATAGGATTTTCCATGGGATTTTACCCCTAAATCATCCATGTATAGATGGATTTTCCATGAAACCAATCAGCTATTGGGGTACCCCATGACTTCGGACACCAATAGGACACCATTCTTAATTTATTATTGACCATTATTAATGAATAATATTCAGAATATTCACTTATTATACACTAGTATTAATCATTATTATTAATCACTTATTATTATATTATTCTTAATCACTTATTCATTATGAATCATTATTCACCATTCACTATTATTGAATCATTTTCACCATGAATCATTATTCACCATCCATTCTTGCATCATTCTTAAACCATCATTGTTTTTTCAAAATTGTTTCACAATCATTAAACCATATTATTCACCATTCCATTATTAAACCATATTATTTACCATTATTCACCACCATTATTCACCATTATTCAGAATGACATTCCACGATTAAACCATCAGTTCACCATGGAAGACATGGCATGACTTCAGGCTTTGGGAGCCAACTCGAGGAGATCGTAACGCAGGGAGCCATGCAGGGGCTCCCCAGCAAGGCGATGGCTGCGCGCGCGATTGTGCGCGTGCGGCGACGCTTATTTTTAGTAAAGCACCAGTATGTATATATATATATAGAAACCATGCATTTTTTTAATGGTTTATACCAGCCCATGTATAGTAAATTTGGGGATGGTTTATTGTTTACTATTGCTGTACTCACATTAGTCATTTATAAAGTTTTAATCATCAAACATGGCGCTAGAATTGATTTTAAGTTGGTTGATGATTATAGGAGGTGCTACATACTGCCCTTGAATTCTGGGAATCGGAATCTTCATCACACAACCATTATAAAGTATGGGCTTATTATTAAATGCATTTGTGTGAAAATTGGGTACCGCAAAATCAAAATGTGTTTACGAAAACCATGTTCCTCATAAAAATGGTCATAACCTTCTGTATTTCCCATTATTAGACCAATGCAGAGGGTGTGAATGGATGTGAATGGTTGGTGTTCATGGACTCATTTCGCATAAAAACATGGAAGGATAGGTCTAATATCCGGGGACAGCACGTCGTAGCCATGGCTATTTTAATGGTGAACATGATGATTTACCGTGGAGGTACCCAATTTTTTGACAAGTCTATTATATTGGTACATTGTATACATATATGCAGGTATATACGGTACATAGTTTGATAGGTTGGTGTGTGTTTTTCCCGCAGGGTTTCGGTCGCTAGCATCCCAAAGTTTGAAAAACCGATGTCTTGGTTCAGAGTGACTGGGTTTCTGATCTATTCAGTCGAGTCTATTCATAATTAAATGATCATTTAAATAGTTCAAACAGTTTATCTTAAATGGGGACCCCACTGACTTCGCAATATGGCAATGAAAAACCAGCGAAGAACTGGGATCCTTGAAGCATGGCCCCGAGTGATGGTTGCGGTGTAGGCCAGTTCTTAGGAACCAGGATCATCATGATCGACATTCTTTCTACTTACTATAGTACTTCAGCCCGGCATGGACAAAAATACGTATATTTGTGGTCTTCCACTATTTTCCCATTAGAAGTAGCGAAGTGCCATTCATTAGATTACAAGAGGCAACAACCAGTTCAAACCTACTTCTTGCTTGTTGATTCATTGTTGAACCTCAATTCTTGTTGAGGAAATTCCCATTCTATCATTTTTGCTGATTTACAGTAACACCCAAAGACCCCCACTGAAACAGTGATAAATGACTCTTCTATTTTTTGGTTTGGGATGACTATAATCCATATGTTGAAAGCTTCGATCCCATGGCTTTAACAAAGCCCAGGCCAAGCCGGGCTGGCGGAAGGCAAACCACGGCCCGGGCTTCCCAGCTGACGCCAAAAGATGGCTTGGATCAAAGCCTATGGCCTATGGTACCATCTTGGAGAGGATGAACATCTAGAACATAGTAGAACAGAGTAGAACTAGCATCTATTTTTTGATGTTCACTGTTTTTTTTTTTGTGCCAAGACCGCCATGACCCATAGCATCCAATCTCCATATACTGATAATGATTATTTGGGGTGAAGAAAAATCATGGGATAGCATCAGATCGAGATATATGATATATGATGATCATCCCTGATCATGAATCACCTATGCTGAGATGTTCCTGGTTTTAGTGGCATGATAATGGTGCAATCCACTTCTGCAGTGTGGTGTCACGGGGACACACCCGCCTTGCGCGGAACGGGTCGCGGCTTCTCAGTTCTGGTCGGCCACCATCCCGTTGTCGGTGCGCGAGTTGGCTGAAGCCTTCCTGGGGCGCAACTGTGCAGGGACGCCTGGTGCTTCATCCCAGGTTATGATTATAGGTGATGTATGGGATGGATATAGAATGATATAGATCTGTGTTGGTTATATGCATGTGGTCATATCCCTGATTTTGCTAGTGGGATAAGCAGGATTTTTCCACTTGTAACTGGGGTGAAGCAATTTACTTGCTTGATGACGCACCAAGTTTGAACATTGTCTACTTTAATCCGATGTTTTCATGTTTGGGATGAGCAGTTCCAACTACCGTATATGTAAGTAGATAAACAAACATAGTTATAATGGCCCCGTATCCTGACTATTCCTAACTTATGAGAAGGGTTTTACTCATCACAATATACATATATATATATATATATACAGTAACCCCAACTGAACCCCCAAGTGGGATGAATTAGCATAACTACCGGCTTTGCCTGATAGATATAGAAGTTGGTTTATGGCTAGGCGAAGTTTTCTTAAACCTGTGGATATAGGTATGTACAATATTAATTTTCTGTACTATGTACAGTTTGATGGACACTAAACCAAGCTTTATCCATTGATTTATGGACAAATCCAACTATATATATCCCTGTATAGATGGATTTCCCACCTTTTCCATGATTTCCATGGTTGATCAGGTCTGGGTCGACTGCACGGGCGGACAAACCAATCCCGTGGTTTCTCGGCGTTTCGTTTTGAGGCCCAAAGTCATGTATAAACTTGGTATAAATTAAGGTCATTTTACAATGACTTTCGTACAAATTGCTGATATGTTCATTGCCATATTTTATAAATTGGTCATTTCATGTAATTTTAAGATTTTGGGATAGCCAAATGTGAAAAACCGAACCGCATATATATATATATATATATATGAGCATGCAGATGACGCATTCATAAAGCATTGTAAGAAGGGTCTTTCTTCCAACTTCCAAGCACTTTGTAAGAAATGTATAGAAATGCCACATACTGAGGTAGGACTTCCTCATGCTTCCGAGGTTCACAAGCACATAGTCCTATATACATTTTGTGATTAGATTGGGTTTCCTTGACCCCGTCGTAGCACCTGATTGTGTATTTGTTTGAAATATCTCAGTCTTATCTACATTAGCCTAGAGTGATTTCAGGCAGTTCCGCATCATGATAGTAATAGGTCCATCCACATAGGCAGTTGTTTCTATCCCTAGAACTGACTGGTCCTGCCATGTGTTGGTTGCTCCGAAGGTTGTAGGTTTTACCCATGGAAACGAGCTGGTATTCCCATGATGATCCCATCAATGGCTGACCCCACAAACACTTAACAGCTGACATTACGAATTGTGGGGTGATCCTCCCCAAAATCAAACATAGCAATGGAAAATACGTGAAAAATCCCAGGATGTTCCACATTGAGATTTCCCAGCCACGTTGAATTCCGGGTGACTCAGCCCACGACCATCTCCCACATCTTCGTGGATGCGCGGCCCCCTCATCGAACAATGCGGGAGTCGGGAAGCCGAGCGAACTGGAACGAGTCGGGTCACCACAAGTGGCGTGGAAGATGTGGCACAACCAGGCGTTGTGTTTTGTAGATGTTGGGTGTTCCATTGGTTTGATTTCAGGAAGTTCAGGCCGGAGGGGGGGCTATTTGAAAATTGAGGGGCAAACCTCCAAAATCATGTGCAGTCTCATTGTTTTCCTTATATATCTTATATTTTAAGTATTCCATTGTTCAACAGACCCAAAACTGTATGGTTAATTGGGGTTATGAACCAACTAACATAACGGAAGGGCCCTTCCTCTCTGGTGCTTGGACATGAAGCAGTCTGCAGTTTCTGGAGCTACCTTTGGGCTCACTGAAGTTTCTCCGAGCCAGATTCTGATTCAGATTGATTCAGAGGATAAACATATGCACCATTTGGGACTTGGCTTCAGAATTGTGTAAACAGTCCAAGGAAGCCCTGCAAGATCAAAAAGCATGGTGATAGGTACTATAGATATAGGTAGGTGAAGGTGCAGGTGAACATTGGGTG